TAGATATGTATACGACTTACAATTATATATTACAATATAATAATTTATCTATTATTTATTTGTGGACAGTTGATTAATGTTTTCACAATTTTTAAAGTATAAATTAACTCTTTGGACATGAGTGATATGATTGACATTATTTTGATTCTGTGTTTTATTAATTATGATTTATAATCCTAGACCATAATCTCAAATATAATATTCAAAATTAGTAGCTAATAGAAAACTTCTCTATCCACGTTCCTATGACCTAAACCTGTAAACTTATTCAAGCTTGTTACACCAAATTGTATAGATTGTATGAAAAAAAAAAAATAAAAATGATTTTTGTAAAAATGCGTTATGCAGTAGATATGGTGTTGAAAGATTTGATTGGGTTACATTAATATTGAAGAAGATCTAATGAAAATGGAAACTTTCATTGTCAGTTTGTAACTTATTCGTATAATCTACATAAATTGTACTACGATGTTCAACTAGTGTGATTATCAAATACTCCATAAAAAGGTTATATCGTATCAGTTTATTTTCACGTAGTTTATGCCAAAGATAAGGTACAAGTATATTTTGTCACGTGCAAGACTAAGGTTTCGCCTCTTAAATCATTATAAACGAAAATTTATCTAACTCTACCATAACTGCAATTTCGAACCGTGGTTTTTTTTGGTTTATTTTCTGTCACATAGATCAACCCTTCTCCAAACTTCGATGACCATTCGTCTGCAGGTATTCATTTTTAATACGATTATATTATTAGAATGTATAATATACCATTTTCAATATTTTCGTCATGAATTTTATTTAAAATGTGAAAGAGATACTTTCGAATTTCTTATGCAATCATATCTATATTGATAAATAGCACGTGAATCTAAAGTCATGTAATTTTTTTTCACATTATTATTAAATTGGCTTAATTTTAATAATTATACAACTGTATTATACAAATAACTTATACATAGATGTTGATACAGATTCTGTTGAAAATTTAATATTTTGTATTAATATATAAAGATTATCATTAAATCAGAATTTGACATAGACATTATACGGTAGCAAGATTAAGCAGAGCGAGTTACATTCTTTTTACCATAATCATTTTATATAATTCGCATGGGCACTAAAAGAAATATATATATATATTTATGTACTTATATGTGTATATACAAGTATATATACTTAAAGTTGTCCTATAAACAGTCACAATAAATGCGCATACCATATTTTAAACCACTGCAATAGTAACCTTTAAAAAACTGACAAACCTGTAGAGCTGATATATTAATTATACTGGTGAAGTCACTTATCACACAGACTGTTCCATTGAACAATATATTTATACCAGTAGCGAATATATAACCGTTGTAGTTTACAAAACAATTACCATAGTCAATAATTAAAACCATATATTTAATTCGTTTAGTAAATAACACATTATTTTGTATGCCTAATACTTACATATATTATGTCAACTATTATGCACTATCACAATGATAAAGGTTGTAGACAGCAAATATCGACTTTATATAACGTATTTTTGAATATTATAGAAATAATATTTATTTTTACTTTTGTAGAAACATTAAAAGAAAGTTTTAATTTTACCGGTATGTATCTATGGTTTAGAGTAATTAATGATTCGAATAAAATATAATATAATAACATCTAATTATCTGATCTTAATGAAAAATTGTGATTTATTTATTTTTAACATTATTAAATGAATTAGGAACAAAAAAAAAAAAAATTAATTTAAGTTGGGCCGAAAAAATATACTCGTTTATTTATTTTATATAATATATAATATATTATTATGTATTATTTTTTATGTATATTTTATCGCAGGGGTTATTAATGATGATTTTCTTGTTTTTGTCAAAGGTATTAAATAGTTAAATTTGGTTTTATTGAAAATAAGTTTTTGAAGACAAATATTTATTGCACAGTTAATTATAGTTAACAACAATTTATAAAAAATAACAAAAACATTAAATTAGATTTACCTTTATAAACAAAACGAGTTTTACGGTTACTTTTTGTGTTCAACTGTGTAAAATTATTTGCTTTAATATTTTTTTTGTCCCACGTTTACTTTTTTCAAAGGTTTTTATCATGACATAGCCATCATCATTGAACAATCTTCATTTCAGTTTTTATATTTATTAAAAAATATTATTTTATTTTCAGACAAAGTTCGCACGTAATTATACATTTTATATTACTAGTGTATTGCTAATTTTTATTTGGACAACCAATCGAAGAAAATTAATTTTTTATTCTCCTGTAAATAAAATTATGTTTTTATTTTTTTTAGAAAATACTGGTTTGTAAATTTTTAATATTTTTACTTATAGTACTGTGTTTTATGTTTTGTGTCTTAATTTAATTGCGTTATTTTTTTTAAAAGTATTTCACGATTATTATATTTTATTTATTGGCTTAAATCAATTAAAGAGAAACTTTTGGTTTCACTCATTTATGCTTAAATTACACATAATTATAACCACCACATAAAAAATATAATTAAGATTCAAAAATATAATATTAATACTTTCATCGGAAATAATTATTTATTTGATATGAAAAATTGTATATATATATATATATATATATATATACGAGTATATCCAAAGATGAAATAATATGTTTCTTATTTTAATGTTCCTAAATAATTATAGTTTGTTAAAAAAAAATAAAAATATCATTTTACTCTTACATTCATCATTTTTGATTTAACGCAAGTTTCTAAATCAATTTGTTTTTCATACAGTTATTTAATATTTATTTTTGTATTATATTAATTTAAAATTATGTACATTCGTTGAAGGCTTATTAAGATACAAAGTACGAAAAAGTTCTAACTGATACAAATATGAATGTTAAGAGTGAAGACGAGAAATATAAGTTACAACCTTTTAGTTTTAAATATAATTAAGGATGAAATAGTTTTAAGCAATTCATTATTTTACTAAATTTAATATACTATGTTGTGTTATGTTGTATAATAAAACATTTATGATATGACGGGATGTGAAGAAATAACATAAATTTACATTTTTAAGTTGATATCACTGCATAGAAAAATAATTTAAATCAGAATCAAAAAGTTTTTGCTAAATCAATAATTTATTTTTTCGAGATAAAACTATTCTAACTAAATAAATAACTTTTATTTTTGGTGTGAAAAAGTTTTACACATTAAACCTTTTAATCCTAAATATAATATTTTAGTTTTTTAGTATTTGATCAATCAATAATCGTTGTAAAAACAAATTGCTGGTAAAGTTGTTATAACTTTCTTAATACCGCATCAAATTTTTAAAATTTATTACTTACGGTGAAAAAGTTATTCAATTTAAAATGCTTCCCTGAACAATTACAAAAATTATGTCAGAACTTTTTTATTCTGAGACGACGCTATCACAAATCTTAGATTTTGCATAGAGCGTTAATGTATCTTAGTATATTTATATGTTTTTTTATTTATAACCTTTAGAATCATTATGCTAAACCATTATGCTCGATATATTTATATTTAATAACGTCTATATTTTTCTAGTTGTTAGTTTTAAAGGTAATAATATTTTATGTTTTTGGATTTTATGTACTTTGGACGAATTTCGCGAGATACATAACATACCAATGTTATTTCAATCTTTAAGTTTTTACTATAATATATTATTCTGCTAAAAAGAATGCTTTTTAGAAATAAAAAATTTGATAAATGAGAATATACCTATTTATAAGTTACTACCTAATCCACGGTTTCAAAATTTGAAGAAATATCAATTCAAGTATTTTAATTATTTTGGTGTTGAATAATAATTATCCAGATCTTTCTAAAAACAAATTTTAAAATTACACTTATTAGTACTTACATATAAATTATTTTTAAACAATCGATACATTATTTTTAGGTTTTGTAGTTTTCATATATTATAAATCTTATAATTATAAGTAATTAATTATTTCTAGAAGACATTTTTAAGTATAAATTTCCTTAATTTTATTATCTTTATATTTTACAGAATTAGCAGAAAACTATAAACAATTTATTAATGTTAACAGAGATAATAATGGTACGTACTATATTATATTTTATTATATTAGTTTTAAACATCATTACATAGATAACACGGTTTATAAAAAAAAATAGTAATGTTACGGTGAATGATATAAACGTGGTAAATAACGCTTTTCTCAGGTAAATGACATCATTTACCTAAAAATTGGTAAATATTGTAAATGTAGACATTCCCCGGTATTGATGTCAATATCCAGTTGAGTTGAAGAATGATGTTCAATACATTTATTTCAGTGTGAACGATCAGTGATAAGTGTGTAGATACGCGAATAAGCTTCGTTAGTTAAAAATATCATGACAGAAGTAGATAAATAAAAGAAAATTCCGATTAGCAATAGTGTCGATAACCTAAGTAATAATATAAGATAATCTATTAGTTTATTAGTTGTTATCTATGTGTATATTCTAGCAAGTTACATATGCGACGAGCGAGTGTTTTATAATTATTTACCATGATTTGTGTTACTCGTGAAGTGTGGACTAATTATAATAAAAGTTATTATAGCATTGTAATTTTATTTCATTATAATAATAAAGTAAGGAGAAACAAAATAAATTTAAAATAGCAATTAACAAAATTACCAAACGTAATAAGAGAGATGACAATATATTTTATTTTAGTTCTGAAGAATACAGTAAAAAGATTCAGAAAGTAAAATAACTGTAAATTGGAACATAAAAAAAAAAGGTAACGAATAATAGGCTTATATGTTATTATGATGTTGTAACAATTTATGAAAAAGAAAAATTAATCAAACCTATAGTTGATAATGACTCTGACATTTTATATTACGTCACAGTAGATGAGTTGTTTGATGTAATTCATACGGCACATTTGGCAGTAGGGCATAGTGGTAGAAATAGAATGATAGCTGTGTTAAAAACAAAATATTGTAATGTGAAAACAGAGGCAGTTATGGCATATTTAGGTTTATGTAATAATTGTCAAGTAAAGAAATCAAATCCAAAAAGAGGACTTGTGATAAAACCAATTCTACATTTCGCATTTAATTCAAAGACGCAAATTGATTTGATTGATATGCAATCGAAAAACTTTAATAATTATCGCTATATAATGAACTACCAAGATCACTTAATAAAGTTTGTTATTTTAAAACCTCTGAAAACATAAAGGGCCGAAGAAATCGCTTTAAATCTGATAGATATTTATACAATATCTAGTGCACCTGCTTTACTCCATTCGGATAATGGTCGTGAGTTTGCTATAATAACAAATTTAAATGAAATGTGGGGAGACATCAAAATAATTGTGCATGGCAAACCTCGTCACAGCCAGACTCAAGCATCAGTTGAACGGGTGAATAGGGACATTGAACAAATATTGGGTTGTTGGATGGTTGAAAATAAATCAAAAAACTGGCCAATGGCATTAAAATTTGTGTAATTTCAAAAAATCAGGCTTTGAACTCAGGTAAGCACACTAGTAAAAACATTTTTTTTTTTTTTTTTAATAATCAGGATTACAATATAACAATTATAATATAACAATTTATAACGTATATCATATTTGTAATATATATCGTTGTAGACATAATAAATTAGTCCAAGCTAAAAATTTTATCTAAAATTGAAACGAAGTATTGATTGTAATCATTGCAGTTTTCGTCAACGAAACGAAAAATATATTTGTTTTATAACACTATAGTGTAATACATTACCTATAGGGCTAGGTTAACTAAAGATTTATTATACAAATGTTAAATTTAATTAAAATGTGATTTGAAAATTAACAATGTTACTATTTACATATTTTTATGATTTTTTTTTTATTATTTTGTTCTATACATCGGTTATTTATCCATTGGATATTTTGACTTGGATATTTTAGTACAGGATACAATATTTTGTCTCAATACTGTTTATATAGGTATTGGGAGATCATCATATGAGGTAATGTTTGGTTGTACAGCGAGAACAGAACTAGTTTTGGCAGGAATATTTTACGATGAAATAGAAAAACTTAAGTCAGAAGAAGAAATTGAAGTACTATTTAATAACAGTAACCATTTGGATAATGTCAATGCAGCAGACAATGAGTTAGTCAGTGTTGGAAATCTTAACAATAAGGGAAACTTAGAGTCGAAAATTAATTAAGAAATACTAGAAACATAGCTGGTTATTATTAAATATCTATCATATATAATTTATAAAATAGTAATCGTTGTCTTTTTTAAAGTAAAAGGATTGAAAAATTCAAAGACCAACGACAAAAATCAGTTATCTGTCTCGAAAAACAAGCGTCAAAAATGTTGAGATTGACTAACGAAAAATTTTCAAAGCTGGAAGTCGTTACAACTATTCGTGTCCCAATACCATATGTTGATAGAGCACGAAGTTTTCCGCGTAATTTACTTGCTGTTATTATTTTGTGTGAAGATGACATGTATAAATTATGTAGGCTAATTTTAATTTGATAATATTTATTTAATTTTTAATAAAATAAATATCCAAATATTTGAACCAAGTACAGAATATGGCGTGTTTCACACAAATATACACGAGCACAAATTTTTCCATGTAAAGAAAAATGTATAGAACTAGATGAAGCCATGAAAAAAATTAAAGATGGGGAAATAACATTCCGTGAAACCGCAGGGCATGGCATAGATGGTCATCAAGACTTCAATTGATGTAACTGCAAAACTGGTTGTGGTATTAAAAAATGTGCTTGCAAAGCAGCAGAAATGTTGTGCAGTTCAAAATGTCATGGTAACCAAAACTGTACAAATAAATAATTTATAATAATATACAACTGTTTTATTCTTTTAAATTGACTTAACCTTTCATTCAATTAAATACTAAAATAAAAAATAAATCACCCAATAAAAATAAATCATTATTAATTATTATAAATAGTACCTATACTCTATAGTAAAACAATTAGTGTATTATTTGAGATTTATTATCTTTTACCACCAGTTTTAGTAAATTACGTCAAAGGCTGGTGAATGATGTAAATTTGAGTTTAAAATGTAGTTTTTTACGTTATTTACTTAAATAATCAAATCATTTTGGTAAATGACGTCATTGGCCGGGGAAAGACGTCATTCACCAATTTTCGTCTTTTACCGTAACATATACATATACGATAATCATGTAAAAACATTCATAGGTTCAGTGATTAAATATTTAATTTATTTAATTTATATACTATAAATTATACTCACATTTATTAAGCATATTATTTTAATTTATAACAAACATTTATAAGTTTATTAATGAATACTTATGATTGAACAAGAGTATAATACATATTACAAAAATAATATGCCTATAAAGTATAAGTGTATGAAAGCACTATACCTTTTTAGTCTAACTTATGCTATATAATATGTTTATAAAAAATATATACATAATATGACATAGTTTAGATTTTTAAGGTATTTCTTTTGATGTAAGAAAAAAGGTCGGTGAAGGACTGTATGATATTGCACTTTTATTTTTTTCAAAAGGTCCATGTAAGAGATCTTTTATATGCAATTGAAAATTTTAATCGTGTAGCGATTTACATTCTTCCCTTTTAATGGACTATAATCGTTAAAAACGAGAAGTTAGATTATACTATGTGTACTATGAACAACATTTTTGATTTTTTTGTAATTGATTGGGCTCTAAACTGGTCTGAGTTACTCCTATACCTAAACTAAAAAATTGATAGGATTTGAATTTGGAAAAAATTCTTCCACCCCATCAAGATCAATAATTAATGCGTATTAGATTGTATCCTGTTCATAGTGAAATATTTTAAGAAGTGTTTTAAAGTTTGGAACATTTACTGAAAAATATTCTTACGGTAAATGATTTTATAGAAAAAAAAAATCAAGGATAATTTACTTGACCTTTGGAAATAATAAATGTATGTTTAATTAACTTAAATTCAACCGATGGTCAAAGAAGTACAGCTTTATCGTTAAATTGCAATTATAATACAGTACACTTATATAGTACTATTTAGAATTTAAAAATATATGGTAATTATAGAAGAGAACCAATTCGATATTCATTAGTAGTAATTCTATGTGCTTTTAAATTAAATTGTCACATGAGGTACTTAATATAATAACTTTTTTTTTAAATCTAAAAAACAGAGTCAAGTTAAGATTATTAGATAATTAGAAAAGATATTTCCTTCATTAAATTAATAATTTCAATTTTTTTTTTAGATCCTCTAAGAGAATACTGCAAAATTGAAGATGATTCGTATAATATTATGTTGTTTATGTTTTAAAATTATAACAATTTCTTCAGAGTGAATAATTTAGTAATAGTGTTTAAATTATTGATGAAAAATTAAATTACTAAAATCTATTAATTTTTTTTTTTTTTTTTATGTTAATCCATTGACAGTTTTTATAAAGTAGACATCAAAAAATAAATATTCATGTTTGTCATTTTCATTTTGATCAGGATGTAATTTTTTTTTTTTGTTAACTACATTTTTCAAAAACAAATTAAGATCTAAAACCATAGTTTTGAATTTTCTTGTATTACGTAGACATTATAATTTAACAGGAAACATTATTGAATAAAAAAAGTATTCAGTGCGTAATTCAGTTAACGAGACGTAGATGTTGAATTTTTACGTTTTACTTGACAGCTAAAAATATTTGATAATGACTCGAGGAGTTCACTGTTAAGGGCAATCTGTTCACGCGTCATCGTTTACGAGCATAAACGTCTGAGGAATAATCCAGTCACTTTAAATTGTAAAAAGAGCTGAGCTTATATTGACTATATGAATGTATAAAAGTAATAAACAGTATAATAACAGTAACGATGGAGTTAGCAAGTGACACAATTGCGCTGTTAAAATGCAGCCGTTAAATACTCAAGTCGTACGATTTTTTTTTTTTTTTTAATAGCAAAATGCTTTATTAGCATAATAATAATATTTCTTGACTCTGTTAAAACAACTAACTTAATCTGTGCTGTCTTGTAACCTTATAATCGTATTTTTTCATGTACATTTCGTACGTATGTGTGACACAATACAATATACGTCATTATGGTCAACCAGTTTGTCAGTTTTGTACAACTGTAGATGTTACTCAGAAAGTTCGGGACAAATTAATTTTTTTTTTTCATTACCTATATATATATTTAACAGACTATGGTCCATCAAATGTATGTATACTTAGTAATATGATATTTCCATATTAATTCAACTTAAAATGTTACTTCTGCAATTTCTAAAATTTAAAACGATAAATACAGGTTAGATAAAGTGTAGCACATATTATTTACCAAAAACTATGTACAATGTGTACGATGTATGTGTAATTAGTGCGTAAAGGCGATATATTTAAACTACTGTGGACATTACAAGTGTATACTATTTTCGGTAAACAATTAAAGGCGATTGCATACTGCCGGTTTGCGTCGTTAACGCCATGGTAATAGTAATTTCCGGTGATTTGTTTTGTTATTATCGAGAGATTGATCGGAAATTAGAAATGAATAATTGTATTTCGTTGTAACAAGTTATATGTGAAAAATCTTTTTTTTTTCGTCCTAACAAATTTTATATTTTTTATGAGTATTACGTACATATTTTATATGATAATGATGATAAAACTGATAACAATTATTATTATTATTCATAAGCAATAAACATAAATTAACATTCTTGTTTATAATGAATTCTTCTTTTTCACCCTTTTTTCTTAATCATATTATCCGGTCATCTTTGTTCTACACCTCTACATCCAATCTTTTATCACATCATCTCCCATATCAGCTATTTTTCTGTCATTCTCTATTCTGTCTATATATTTTCTTTAGTTTTTTTTCTACCTTTCTTTTCATCAATAATTATTTTCATAGCCATTCCTCTAATCCCCGAATTATCTGTTCTTATTTAGTAGCTGAACCTTTTTTCACCTTATACCCACTATATATTTTTTTTAAATAGTGCTTATTATAATATTGAAACAACTAAAACGAATTTCTCAAGAAATTAGTATATTATAAATATATAAGCGAGTACCGCATGTAACGAATACGATACTCGTGTGAAATAACTTTATAAAATCTTCCCTGAGCACTTAAACTTAAATTACAAATACGTTTATCGCTATAGAAAAGCTCATTTTCCAAATAGAAATATTATTATTTTTATAAATTGTTATTAGTTTAGTTGTTTTCATGTGTTCAGTTATAACAAAAAAAATATAGTTTTTGAATATTTAATTTGTTTGTAGAAAAAATGAATGTAGTCTTAATATTTATAACTAAAATTTTAAATATTATAAAAATAAAATGTTGATATCTATAATTATTCTATAAAATAAAAAAATAAATATATTTTCTATTGAAAAGCATAAGACTAATTATTAAAATGATAAAAAAAAATTAAATGTTTGAATGAAAAAATATTTTATTTTA